ATAAAAGAAACATCAGGTTTTAATAGCATGTACCTCGGCCAATTCTTGTCCCACATTAATATTCGATGTACCATGTTTCCAAATGTTATAACCAGCTGTTCAATAATCAGTCTTGGTTTTTTTATTGGACGTGTTTGTATCATTTTTAAAGTGATTACGATTCAAGAAAAAATTATGTGTTTTTCACTATGGCTCAAGTTTATATTTAAAAACCTTCCAGTGTGAGTTTCGGAGGCAATTTAGACAGACTCCTCCTACTTACCACAGCATTTTAAGGTGGTATAACTAGTTTGAGAACTCTGCCTCATCCTCCTTAATATCTATGTTCGTAACTTCAATGAGAAGCTACCTCAGAGTTGGATTGGCAGATGTAACGATAATGACTTGACCCTTCTCAATTGGCTCCCTAGATCTCCTGATCTTACGTTGTGTAATTTTGTTCTATGGGGCTGTGTAAAAGACAAAGTTTATGTACCACCAATGCCTCAAACGCTTCAAGAGCTCCGTGGACGAATTCACAACGCCATAGAATCAATCCTTGCGACGCTAGCCGGTGTATGGGACAATTTACAGCTTGGATTGGAAACTCCACGGCTAATGGACGGCACATTGAGCACTTGCAGGAGTATCTATGAACAATTTAAGAGTTATCGTTTTTGTTGATAGGTTTTCTGTATTTGTTTGACGTTAACGCTAATAAAACGTTTTAAAACCTGATGATTCTTTTATAAACTGTATATTAAATATATTTGAAGTGTATGCATGCATTTTTATACTGTTTGTGATGCAGTATTAAACACAAATAAAATGTACGATTTCGACTCTACACCTGCATAGTGCATCGTCAGTCACTCACTATTTCAACTTTGAACTTTTACATTTTAGTATCTAAGAGCGATTGTCCATAAACCTCTGTATACATTCATTGATCATAAACCATGATAGCTTACAGTCAATTATTCTATAAATTCTAAATTATATGTTGGATCAATATAAAAAAAGAGCGTTACGCCTGAAAAAGCCCCCCAGAGTATCAAAATTAGAGAAGAAAGCGCACTCTTAAATATCACTATAACCGTCCGCCATATGTTTTAGTTATGTGTATTTTGAAAAGACCTCCTTCTTGAAGAACAGTTATGAATTACTGTTTTAAGGTGAGGTAACTAAAACTTTTTCACTCAAAGTAGAAAACCAGGTAAATGTTTATTGCAGTAAAATGGAAACAAAAAGAAGTATGGATGACGTAAGGGCTTTGACAATCATGGCTGAATTTAGTTAGCGTTGCAAAGGTATATGAACAACCGTATGTTCAGTCAAATGTCAGAATCTATTTTGATTTAGCCTTACAAGCTTGTAATAATGATTTGACTTTTATAATTAGTACTTGACAGATGTTTAGCTGAAGCTGTGCTTCTTCTTTCGTCTGTCGGTGTTGTTCAATGCTTTATTACGGTGACAAAATGTGTTTAATTGATAAATTTTCAAAGCACCAAACTTTCCTTTCATAAACGTCACGCGTTTTATGGAACGTTGTTGGAAAGACAAAGTGATGTAGTTTTAAACTCATTCAAACAAATAATGTTACAGTGATGTTGTATTAGTATGATTAAACTCTCTTTGCTTAGCAAAGGTTAGATTGCCCCAGGATACTCAACAATGGTATCAATGGTGCCTGTTATATTTATTCATATATATATATATATATATACTAGCTGTGTACCCGTTCTACGCACGGGGATCTTATAATATTCAGTTGAAACCTTCTTATATAAAGAACAGCAGTTGGTTTGCATATTTTAAGATATGCTGGCCAAACTATTATACATAGCTTCATTTTATGTTGTTTTTTGTTGTTCCGGATCGGTATGACAATCAATAAAAGGTTAAATTACCTCTGTGTCTGCCGGTCGATCCTATAACGGTAGGCTTACTTTTATTTTTACTATCGGATCTCGTTTGCATGGCTCAATCACGTCCTGGTTGAAGTTCGTTCGCTACGCTCACTCACCTGTATGTTGGAGCTCGTTCGCTGCGCTCACTTTCCTTCAGGTTAGCTCGTTCGCTACGCTCACTTGCCTTCAGGTTAGCTCGTTCGCTACGCTCACTCGCCTCCAGGTTGCAAATTAGCTGTTGTCATAAATGTAAAAGAAATAATAGTGCTAGTGCTGCACCCTGTTGGTAATCCTTGTAACTTTAATGCTATTGAACATCACAGAACAGAACCAACTTGTTTAATTGAAACAGCTGTTAAGATTCAATAATTTCATTTCTCATAAGGTTAACATGGGCTTCCAGAAATTCCACGTCAAAAATCGACAAAAACTTGATTTTCAAGGGTTTACTGTTAAATATCTAACTGTCTCATATTCGATGAAATACGTCTAAAACCATCTCATATATGTATAGTATTTGGAAAATAAGTTTCAGGCGGGACAGTGCTATAGTTATTGAGGAGTAGTTGTAATAAAGTGCGTATTTTAGCGTTACCAAGAGAATGACAGATAGACAGACAGACAGACAGACAGACAGACAGACAGAAATTGAGATAAGGTTTGATTCGGTTTCTCTGACCTATGAAATGTAAAAATAACCAAAAAGTTCATTATTCTAAGCAATGTACAGACAAAACTCTAATTTTATTTATATAGATATATATATATATATATATATATATATATATATATATGTATTGATTTTTAATTTCTCTCTTTATACGTATGTAGGCCGATATGGATTGTTTTAGTTGAAAGCTTAATGGTTTCATAAAAATTTTAGTTTTGGGTGGAATATCCGTTTTAGGTCCCATGAACTCCAAACAGTAATTTTCAAGGTGATGTATGTAATGTTTGTGAAATTTATTTTGTGGGTACTAATCCATGGTGTCTCCAAAATATTATTTTTTTTTATTAGGATAATTCATAGAAATCTTCCAATAAAATGACGAAACCCTCAGATTATCCACAAAATAGTTTTCTTGGCCGTGCATGTCTAATTTATACCAAGTCACGAAAAAAAAATAAATTAGGCCTACGTTACGCTTATAAACACAGGACGTGAAGGTAAATACTAATCCGTATTAAAAGATTGTTTTAAATTAATATTAACTTAATTTTCTATAGCTACGAAGACAGTTTTTCAATAGTGCAAAACTGTAAAACACTAAAAATGCCCATCGGATCTAATGTGCTCGTTGATGAAAACTACATACCAAAGTATTGTTTAAGTATTTTTCAATTACCAAAGCATGAATCTCCAATACTAATCAATCACTCTTCTATATACTTTACACAGACAAGGGAAAGTATTTTTAAGTACCGCTATCGAAGATGTATATTATATTGTTATTTCAGCTTTGGAACAGATTAGACATGTTTTGAGTGATATTGCTAAGATGTTTAATCTTGATAATGGATACGAAGATGAGTTAAGAGCAAGGTTCTGTATCATAACAATAACATTTCTATGTTTTGCCTCGTCAAGTGAATTTGATTATCAAAACAATTCTATCGGGATTTATAAAGCACAACTGTATTTTGAGTGGTGAAATACAATACATAACAATACTTAAGATTTTAACAATTTATTTTCAATTAAATGTATTTTTAAATACAAGATCCCCTTAGAAAACTCAAATGAAATTGGTGGATACATCGGTAGAACTGTTGACAATATTGTTGTACAACCACTATACTTGTATTGGTAGAGCGCGGGGCTTCGGTTTCAAGTTACCGGGTTCAAATCCAGCCTATCACCAATGGATTTTATCTTCGTGATGATGCCGTACCCCTAGGACTGGCCTGAAGTAATGAGTAAGAAAGTTCCAGGCTAGGACTGGCGTCCTAGGATGTGAAGGTATGACTTATAAAAACTATACTTGTAAAATAGTTTATATTTATTTTTTACATTTTTTATTCACATAAACTAGTTTACAAGTCTGTGCATGTTTTCTAACTTAAACACATATATTGGAAAGCTGAATTTATTTAAGTAAAATTAGATTTACATAAAAATTAAATCGTGATTTGTATAAACCCATTAATTTAATGACACAAAGTTATGATTGAAAGATAATGTATAATTTGTATCCTAAATATAACTCACTTATATTGTTCCCTTACACCATATTTAATGATAACATAAATAAATTAACAAAAATTAACTACAAAATTATATCAAAGTATAAAAAATCCAGTATGAAGCTTGGGCCGGGGCTTCAAGCACATGTGACTTTTAAACCAAAATACAGTTCTTCTGTACAAAAATACATAAATAGGATAAGCAACTATTTAAAACTCCTTTGCGAATTGCGAATTGTTTAATCTGTTCATTCCAAAATATTTATGTATTACTGACGTATCTAAGTAAATATATTAAAAAAATTAATTCAAAACAAACAATAGTAGTTATTGCATAAACCAATTCAAATAATCGTTGTTTAGTTTTTGCAGTTTTGTTTTCAATAAAGGTTTAAATGAAAGTTGAATGCGAAATTATATTGTTGTTTCTAGAAGGTTTTTGTAATCGACTAAAATTAATGAAACATACAACTAATCAAATTAACATAATGCGATATATATCGTTTCATGAGAAGATTTTAAATTATTTATTTAAATATTCTTTTCAGTTAACGAAGTTCCATCACAAATACGGTAAACAGTGAATCACTTAAATTACTTATAAATATGAAAATATGCCAAATTTGCTTACTGGTATGACATATGAAAGTTTCTTTAAACAAAAAACAAAATGTATTAAAATTAATTTATTCTTAACGGTGTTGAATATATCTGTAATTCAGTCCTGTGCGATATAATCTGAGTAAAGATAACACAATTTTAATATTCAACAAGTTATTTAGTCGTAGTACTGTTTAAATTCACTAAAAGTCATTTCTTTTACTTCTCAACTTATTATAAAAAATAATAAAGTATGTACGATAAAAAAATATGTCTACAATAAAGTGCTTTTAATCACACTGGTGTTTAAACCATTTGTCAATAATGTATACTTTATGTGAAAAATACCTTGAAAACACTCTTGATCAACCAGATACCTTAGTAATATAGGTTACTATCAACAATTCAAACTTGATAAATGTTGTAGTACCATAACACTCCTGGAAGTATGGCTGACGGCATGCACCCGAACCACGGCATAAAGTTGGTAGCGCGAGGCCAATTCGCCATGGTAATTCTGTGTATGACCAACCTGTAAAATAAAAAAGTGTTTGATAAACATATTTTTGAAAATGAATAAAATACAGTACTTGTATGGATAACGGTTAGTGCAGAAATATTTTGCATTCCAACTAAGTACTTTGGTAATACCCGACCACACCTAAATTGGATTAGGTTACACCTAGGTTAGGTTAGGGTAGGATACGATAACCGGAATATAACCTAACCTAACCTAGGTGTAGTAACCTAACCCAATTTATGTGTGGTCGGTAAAATACCAAAGTACCACCAACTATTCAATGCTGAGAATGGCATTCCGAAGCAGTATGAAAGTGATATGATAGGCTATCTTAGATCTATGTTGAATTCTGTAATTTAAATAGGGGATTTTTTTGCAATTATATTAAATAGTTTTATATAATTAAGTTGTTGAACATGTTGCCTATATTTTGGAACATCTTATTTATATATTTTATTTTATATATATTTATTTTATATTATATATATAATATTATATATATTATATATATAATATATATATAATATACATATATATATTATATAAATTATTTATATATAACCTTCAATCAACTCGATTCTTCTTCAGCCACCGTTGAATTGGTGGCTCAGTCAGTACCAGAGACTTCTAATGCAATGCGCGATGCCGTGGGTTCGGATCCTGGTACCCGTCACAACTTTTTTTGTACAGTTCACAATTTTTATGTACTGGCTCAACGTTTGCTTTGCTGGAAACGGGTAATTGTTTTACCCGTTAACATATGCTATGGAGCATATGTCGACGGGCAAATGCATGTTAAAAAAAGCAGCGAACCTAAATAATCTTTAAAAATTTGTACTAATCTCTTTTAGTTGTCGTACAACATATATCGCAATAGGTCTGCTAATAATTTTCATAAAAATACCTAACCGAACGGTTAATTATTTAACTAAGATTTTACCACATTAGGTGCTATGTTTTTTTACAAAATCCATTACTTTTTAAGGCGTTTAATTTTATTCCATGGCATAAGTCATTACATCCGAGTGTTTGGACATTACTCAATAGAAACATTTCACTTAGTAAAATATCTACCAAATCAGATTTAGAGGTTTACCTTATCGTAAGTTTTCCAAGGGTTCGAATGTTTATGTTATTACACGATTGTAATGCAAGGTTGTCCTTTTAGAAATGCGTGGTCCAATAAATACACCTAACACATTAATTCCTGGAGCTTCGATTATTTAAAAACCAACTAAAATTTTTCCAATTGTTTCGGCTTCATAACCTTTCATAACCTAGATGTTTATTTGCTACCGAAGCGTCAGTATAAATCTAGATTAATTTATTACAATCCCAACCATATTTGACACAAGTCTTTGTCCACAGCCTACCACACATGGTTGGGTATCCAGAAGATGCTGATGTTCCAGTAGATGGACCAGAGAGTGATGGCCAGCCGGTGCTGACGACGAATCTGGTCTTCGCCCCAAGGCAAGGCCTTGGCAGCACTCTCAATGGCGGCTTCTTGAGCCTTCGTCAGCATAGTCCCTCGGTTCATCATCATCACGGCCAAAGCCTTGTCGTGACGCTCCATAGCCTTGAACAGCTTGACCATGACGATGATGTCCAGGATCATGGGAAACCAGAAGGTAGCGAGAGGTGAAAGGAAGGCGTACTGAAGAGTTATCTGGAGAATTGAAAGGTAATTTTAATTTATCCATGTATTTGGCTAAAGTTCAACCAACTGTTCTTTTTTGGAAATAATCAAAATGTAATGATTTCATTATTGTTTCAGGACTGAGACTGAAATCCTGCATACTTTAGCCAGTGACTGGATCGATAAAGATGAGATCGGGATAGTTAGATTGTATACCATTTTGCTGAACAGGACCAATAGCCTATCCCCATGGCTTATCACTAAAATCCCAATGGTCAAGGACAGCTCAGTCAATTTTTGCACAAACAAAAATTTACTAACTTTCATTAGAAACTAATTCATACATCTTCACAAAGATGGGCAACACCATAACCACTAAGCTACTGAGCTGGTAAATAAGATTTACTTTGCAATAACTTGAACCATAATCAAATTTAGTAAATGACTGCTAAAATAATATGATGAATCAGAATCAGAATTTTCCACTGACAGTAACAATTGCATTGTACGCACAGCAAATAACAACAAAGCAAAGGAATTATTTAAGAAAGGAACGAGGTGCAGTCAAAAAATTCGATCTTTATCATAAAACTAAATTCATCTAAACATCGTATATATCAAATAATAAAAAATATTGTACCAAACATTGAGTAAAGATTCAGAATACTAAAAGAAAAATAATTTCTTCTTCATTCCAGCTAGTTTTGTCTTAAACATAGTTTTTCTTATTAAATAGATGGCAGATATTACCTTAAATTTGCACTCGCCATATGGCATGTTAGGATCCTTGGTGTGCCAGTTCAGATATATTGGCGGTATTGCAACAACAGCTGGGTAGGCAATACTTAGCAACACCATGCCCACAGCTGAAAAGCTGTTCATGATCTTTCCGTGGATGGCAGGGTGTTCCAGAATTAGGTAACGGTCTGCGGAAAAATTGAAGCCATCATTAATTTTCTATGACTGTAACAATATTTCGCAAAGAAATTACGTACTTCAATTGTTTAAAAATAACGATATTTTGTAAAGTGTATTGAAAATTGAAGGTAATGCAGACACTTTTTTAACTTTTTAGCTGAAACTAGCATTATTCTTTGTTGACCACCTTATTTTTTTTTTTTTTTTTACAAATTGAAATCCTAATTTGACAAAATTTGTTGAGCTCTGATGGGATTATGTAAGAAGATTCGCCTTACATATTGTCCAACAGCTCAAAAATGGCTATAAAAATTGATTTAAATCTAAAACGGTCGACACTAAATTGATGAATCCGTTTGTGAGATATGTTCCATTCAGTATTCAAATCAAATAGTATTCTATAAACTATAGCATCTTCCCTAATCAAGAAATAAAGATTTAAGTCAAAATAAGATCATTAACATACGATTAATATGAACAAGTGGCGTTAGAGGAAGTTTAAGACATTACAATGAGGTGAACTAACTACACTTTAAAGTGACATGGTTGAAAATACTGCCCGATACAAATTTCAAGAGATGACCCCCTCTGGAACTTTTTTCACCCTAATATGCTTTTTTATGTTTGGTTTATCAACAGTTCTGTTCACATCTTACTATTTAGTTCTAGCACATCAATAATTACCCCAATGATAAATGGTATCTAGATACAAATGTTGAACCCTTTACGCTTTCATAACGAACCAGTGACAATATAATTTGGAGGTGAGCACTATAACCACTTGGTTTCAACTGAGATCTATCTCCTGAAGATGTATCATTACAACCTCCTCTATTGGAGGAGGCTATGCTACAACACTGGCAAAAACATTCACTTATTCATAATACCCGGTAATTTCTTAATGACTATGAGTATGAAAATATGTAGAATTAATAGAGGTAATTTAGTATTATACCAACCACACCGAATAATCTACTTCCAAAAAACATTTTAATTCGTTTAAATAACCAAAATCTCCCTAACCTAACTTAACCTAAAACATCGTCCTCGCTTAGGTTAGGTTATAATTATTAGGTGTAGTCGGTATGATACCAAGGTACTTGAATTGCTTGCACTAATCAAAGTCAATTTAAATTCCCTACCTAAAATGGCGAAGAAGCACAGGAAAGCCATCATGGAAGGCATATAGATATTCATCGTCTGCCACATCTTGCACCACTCAGGGTCCAATGCATAATAGGGTTTGTTTTGCCAGTGGTTTCTCAGGTCTATTGAGGCGTTGAGAGATTGAGCTATCAACGCCATGGAGATCACGATGATGAAGATGTTTGTTACTCTATGCAGCTTGGACTTAGACAAGACTGAGTACACGGTGAACAGGTTACCACACACCCCTAAACTCACAAGGATGATCTGGGCCCCTACCTTAAATAAGAAAAATCTGTATTAGTGTCATAAATAAGGTTTTACTTCAACTAGCTTAAGGGGATCCGCCACCACTAAACCTAATTTTCTTATTTAAGCTAATATTTTAATTTTTTCTCTCATTTTTAGTTATTGAGCATTTATATAATAGGAATATGACCAAATTTTTTTTATATATACCTACATATATATTATATACATATATAAATTTAGGAGTGGGGGGAAGAAAAAGCTTAAATAACTTTTTTATTATTAATATATTTCAAAAAAGTAAGTATTTTCATGACAATAACAGATATATTGTTATCTACAGATATATTGTTTTAAATATTTGGTTTGTATTACAAATGGGTGTTTGTTTAGGTTGTATTTTTACAACCTACTGTAACTTTAATCGTATAATAACGCAATTGTTACAAAAATTATAGCAATTTTCATAAAGTGTAAAAATTTTACATTAAATGTTTACCAAAAATGTTTCAAAATATATTTATTTTTGATTGTATAAGGCTTATTATACCATTAAATATTGTTCATAGTATGGGGATGATGGGGTAAAAATTTGAATTGGCTAGCTCAAATACTTTTGATTTTATTTAACAAAATGTAAAAAAAACACGACTTTTGGGAAATTGCGTCCAAAGTCCGCGAACACCTGGTTTGCCCAAACCAGCTGTTTTCTCAAACAGCTGATTACATATTATATTCATATAGCTCAGGTGCATTATAGCATTCAAACTGTTAAGTGTTTATATGTATGTGATAAATATGCCATTTTTATAAATACAAATTATTCTTTACCATATTATAGGGAATATTATATAGATGATTAAAAAAATAAAACTAAAAATCCGAAAATTCTCACTTTTATTTTGTGGTCAAGGGTCCAATAGTAAATATGGTCAGATATGCATGAAACTTCACATGGATATTGTCAAAAGCATACACAATAAGAAAATGACATTTTTGGAAAATTGTAAAAAATAAAAAAAAAACACCCATTTTAGTGGTGGCGGATCCCCTTAACATCCAACTAGTATTTAGCTTCACTTACAACTTACTTAACTAATGGCACTCTTTTCAATATTGAATTTCATGAGTATCATCATGGTCTATTGTAGACCTACAAGACCGTGGCGAGACATGGCAACACCGCAGCACCGGCCTACTGAATCAGCTGTTGCACTAACCCACAATGGAGCGTCTGTCCAATTGTTGTTATATGCTACTGTTATTACAATGACAATAGGCCGGTGTAGCATTGACTCACGCTGTCGGCCTTGTATAGAGGAGGTTATGGTAACATTGTTTGTAAGTTAATCAAAATCAAGTTTGTTTTTATTCAAAGTCTACTGAAATAACATCAACTTATTAAACTATTGGTAGCGATTTTTATAAAAATTGATATATATATTCATTATTTTCAATAATAAATGGCATACTACTTAAAAGTTTACTAAAAGTTTTTATTGGGTAATATTTGATTTTCTGTAATATTTTGAGTTCTTGTAGGCTAGGGGCCATCTTGGATAATTTTAGACTGCTGCTGAAGATTTAATTATCATCCAAAAATGAACACTGAAGTGATTTTATTTAAATACCTAGTATACTGTGAGATTAGAAATTGTATTTGTAGTTTTGAATTGTTTTCTAATCGGGTCTATGAAAACCAACGCCAATCTTTGATTTACTGCCATAAGAGCAATGTTAATTTCGTTAATTTAACATAGCCGCTCAAGAGTTTTTTACCATCTCAAATCATTTCTTTAATTACCAAAGTCATAGTAATTTAAATATCTAGTATACTCTGGGATTATAAATTTTCTTTGTAGTTTCTTAACTTTTAACAGTACGAGTTAGGATATCTAGGCTCTAAGGACTCTTAAACCTGTGTGAGGCCCACCTTACAGGCTGGCCACCTGTGTGCGTAACGGCATTTTATAAAAAAAGAGTACAGTATATCAATCTTAATATGCATTTAAGAACAGATTCCTTTATCATCAAGATGCATTAATGAGATACATTTTTATGGTAAAAACTAGGACCAAATGGCCTTTTTTTACTGTTAACTCCAGAAACTGGTTACAACGAATATTTTAGAAAGGGCAGTTTAAATAACTCGTGGCCTTTAACTGGAGGCCATGGAACAACAAAGATCATTGGCCATTTGCAACTTTAAATTCGTTTTGATTAGGAATAATTAATTAATAATTTTTCCCATAGATTTATCATAACATGTAGGCCCTACATGTGAGATTAACCCAATAAATATTACAATGGTGTTTCATACCTTTACTGTAAAGTACATCATGTCTATGGGTATTCCCAGCTGCCGAAACGTTTCCATGGTGACTGATGATTTGTTACAGGAAAGGAGGTTTAAATCGTTTGTAAACTTATTGTTTTATTTATGCTTCTACACAATAAAGATTGTTTAAATTGTGTTTGTATTCCATTTGTGTATTTAAACCTAGAACAGAAAACAATGGAAAGCTATAATACAATGCTTCTTTAATATTTGACACGGTAGGCTAGTTTAACCTCATCAGTATAATGATCAATTGTTAAAATAGAACCTTACACTATTGTTGTACACAGCCTTTTAATTAACGCTATTATACGTTAGTATATATACTTATATATTTATTTATTTATCATATATACTCTGGATATATTATATATGGACATGTTTGATACAGCAATATAGTAAATATAACAATATAATAAATATTGTAGATGTAGTAATATAACAAAAACAGAGTGTTCATGGTAAATCTAATAACCAAAACTTTCTTTTACTTTAAATTTACAACATAACGACAAAGGTGAATATAAAATAAATATTTCCCATCAACAAACATAACAGAATACATACAACTACGTTTTAAAATTAGGTGTACACTGAAATACGAACTAAATGATACAAATGGTTAGAGCATGAATCATAATGTGTAGCAGTACCACTCTCATGTGCTACAAATTTGCATGTTTGTTATAAATTAATAGCTGCGTGTTTACATTGAAGGACGCGCATCATTTTGTATTCATCTATAATTATTTTTCAATTAATTATCAAGAATATAGAATATAACTTTGTTTCTAAGAATGTGAGTTACACCAATCAAACAAATAATACATTTGGTTACAATATTTGCAAAATTTTACTCCCCAAAAAAATTAAAACAAAGTACAAATAATAATGTACACAATTCGACGAATTTCTTCTCAAACTGGCTAAAGATAGTTGTTAAAGATTCATTGATAATTGAGCTGGTCTGGAGGTAGAGCGCGAGGCTTATGAGACCGAGGTTCCAGGTTCAAATCCCGCTAATCACCAATGGATTTTATCCATTTGATAATTTCGCAACCCTCTATGACTAGCCTTAAGTAATGTATAAAACAGTTACGGACTACAACCAAGTGTCCTAGGATGTGAAAGAGTGACATACAATAATTATTCAAAACATTTATTTTAAACAAAAGTAAAAGGTTTTCTAAGGAAATCAACAGTTCTAAAGATAAATCAAAAATATTAACACTTCGGATATCAAGTGACAGTGCATAATTTGCGTGGAATATCGTTGAGTTTCGTCATGCAAGAAATTTCAATTTTAAATAATAACTTTTAAATAAATACAAACAATATGCTCACTATTTATGAGAACTAAACTCGAACCAAAAATCGGATCCAGTTATTGCTTGAGGAGCTAAGGCTTCACAAATTTACTAATAGCTATAACTTGCACTGTGTTCAATTTTTTAAACATATTACTTTTAAATGACTGTTATAGAAGGTAAAAATACTAACCTTTTTTTACAACCTTTCCCCACTCAACGCACAATGTGACTGTCCCAGACAGCGAACGGGGTGTGGTCCCTATTAAGTGATTAAAACATTAAAATTACGTGTAGGTATGTGTAATTATGCATAAATAATTTACTGAATTACAGTGTGTTTCATGAAAAACTTCAAATTTACAAAATGAAGGTTATGCCTATAAATAAGATTTGTTTATGATAATTCTTGTTATTTGACTTAACTAGTAACTACATATTTACAACACACTAAAATGCATGTGTTACTTTTGGCTTATGGCTTAGATCTTTAGGTAAATATACACCAGCTGACGCCATCAGCTGTTTGTTTTATTCATACTTTGTTTGAGTTTAGTAAGAATAGTTGTTTCAAAGGTTTAGGATTAACAATGAGTTAAGACACTTACTTTAGATATGTAGACAATACATTTATACGATTGAACAATAGTCAGTATTTTTAATCAAAGAGTAGAATGTTAAAAAAACCTCTTTTAGAGCGTTGTAACGACTGGATTTGTATTACTCCCTTAGATTTTATTGCTAGTTAAGTTAATCATAATTATATTGTAATTACGTAACATAAATTCATGTATTTGTCAAAACATTTATATTCTTTTACCATACACACCCTCTTTGGAAATACTTTCCTGAACTTTTCCGAAGGGACCGATATCACCGAAAGTGTTTCATCCTCAAGAGACTTTACTTGCAAAGTTTTCTCTAAATCTACTCGAGAAGGAAAGTGCAAAGATGCATCACAATAAGTAACCAAAATCGGTGTTCTTTTCTACTTGAAAGATTTCCCACTATTCTTTATGTAGATAGCAGACAAATTCTGTACCATTTCAGAAAAATATTTGGTAAAAAGATTTAGTGTACAGTCGATAAAGAGATCCCGAAGATAAAATGGGAAAACATCTCAATAATATAATGATAAAGCATTTACCTCTTTTTTTAGAAAAGTTCAACTAGAAGAAGTTGTCTTATACAAAAGCTGTATGAGGCTTTCTATTACTTAATTATTACATATATTTTGAGTGAATTTCAAAACTGATCTAATTGATTGGTGAATTAGCATGAAATTGGAAAGATTTCAGATAATGACTTGTACTGGTCAATTATAATGGAACAAGTCAACGATCTTAAGATCAACTAACTAAAAAAAATTATTACTAACTCTATGGGCTCTCGTTGAAAGAGCTGTCTAACGTAAATATTTTTTTTTATCCAAAGATAAATTTAAACTTTTTGTTTTTAGATAGTCCTTTAACTTAAGGATGGTTCTAAACCAAAATGGTTTCCCATAGCTTATTGCCATGTTTGACTGAATATGTTTTGCACTATAACATTTAAGGGTGAAAATGCCACTAGAAAAACCTAACCACTAGTTTAAAAAGTATGGTTTCAAGAAAATATTTATTCAGTAACACATTAAACGATAATATTTTATTCATACTAAAATCTAATGGACTTTAAACGACAAAAAATTTGGTATAATGAGCCCTTAAACGTAGTTTGTAATGTATTCAGACCTAAACTTCGATCGTAAACTTATACACCCAGGTGGTATATAGAGGCAAGTTTTACTAACTTTAGCCTATCTGCAATACATGAGCTAAATGGCAACGAAGTTGTTATAAACTCCCAGGTGAATACTGCCTACAGTTTGCATCAAAAGGTATTCACAAAATAGTATGTAATTGATGTATAAATTTAGTTATACTGGTACAGCCTTAATTTAGAGTACGAATATATTATCATTGGTATGGTCTGGTAATTTAAATAAAAAAATAAAGTATTTTTCCCAGGATAAGTTTAATATTTTCGTATTAGTGTAATCCAAACATGTGCTATTTTCTATTTATTCGCCAAAAATCCATGTAAGCTTATTCACATGAATATAATGCAAACGATTAACTTTGCTGATAATGAAAATAAATTGTACATTTAGGTTGTTATTTAGTTTAAAATAGTTGTATGAACTTTATACCTCACAAAGTTAATTACTAATTTATTTAATTTAACTATTTACAAGAACCGTGTAGTACCAATTAAGTAAGTAGGCTATCTAAGTTGAGAATGTATATTAAAATTTACTATTAAATAGCTCCTAGGGGGATAGAAGAATAGATCGACACAATCTGTAAAAGATGAATACTATATCATTAATATCTAACATTAGGTAAACGACACATTTCAGCAGAATACTATGTCATTTAACTTTTAAAAATATTTGTGAGGAAACGGTTAAGGATTAAATGTATGTGTTAAACTTAATTAAAAAATGGACAGAAGTGTAGTTAATAAATCAATACTAATTTGAAAATATTATCATTACAACAAACTTGTAACACATTAAAATACCATAGATACGTTACAAAGGATGTTTGTTATATCTAGTTTCGGGAGATTAGCAGGGATTTAAATAAATATTTTGTTCCGTGCAAAATATTATTATTAGTGTCCTTACTGCGTACTGTTAATAAGTTAACTATTTAAGTTTATAGTGTTGATGAAATACGAGAGTGTATATAATTTATTTATTATGTATTATGCGTCCTCCTGTAATCCAGCTACTAGGAGGTCACGAATTGTGGATATTTATAGGCATGCACTGTGGATGCGATGCTCCCTGGTGTGGATTAACGTCCACACTAGTGAGTACTACGACTATCCTCAGTACTATCCTGATAATAAGACCATTTCGTTAATTACAAGGAAAAATGTGGTTCGGATTCCACTATAAACTGTAGGTTTCCGTTAGCTGTATGGGCTATTAATTAACAGCTGTGTCTAAGGAATGTGTCGGCCTTAGTCACCAACAAGACTACAAGATCGCGCCACTACACTCATCCTTCACTCATATTTGGGTTAAAATACGCACATAGTGGCGTCCCCATCTTAAATAATTGATATAATTGATTGATAATTGATTTGACTTCTAACATTTTTACTTTATGTATAGCTCTGTGTGCCTGTACCAATATTTTGCTTAACTTACTTACTGTAGGGGCCACTGGTGCCCTAAAAGGTACTTGGCATCGCCCATGCTCTTCTTAGTGTCTCTTTCTTGAGCATCGTTTTCACTCCTTCCTACCTGTAATATCTTTTTGGACTTAACCCCTCCACCAATCCGTTTCGCTATGCGACCAACCTCTAATCCTGTATTGTTGTAAATTGTAATTAACAGCCGTATATACAACTGATATTTTGATCTATTAGGCGAGTTTTGGTCATCTAAAGAAAGAAAAAGTAAAAGAGAGTACTCTGCCAGCGGATTGATAAATTCAGCCTTAACCTCAGATTTTTAACCACATTTTAAATGATAAGGATGGTATGAGAATGGCAGTTAGTTTCATAGATAGAGAGGTATATTTTAGGCAACATACATAATCTATCACGGTGGTAAACAAAATTCAATTAGAAGAACGATATCATTGAAAGTATTTAGTTACCTATTTTAGTCCGCCAAAATTGATTCACAAAACGAAAAAAGTATAGATATTAATGACGTTCACTCCACACGATTTCAGTATAAAAAGATTAAAATTGATCCCCTTAAAAAAATAATCTTGGCCTAATGATTGTAAAATACTCGATATTTTTTAACGCATCAAAAATTTACAAAACATAACAAAAAGCA